CAACGTACTCACACAGGGTTATTAGGTAAAAAACCTATATAATATACTATGCTGCCCGTGAAGTATATTAGCTGTGTCTGAATGGTTATTTGTGTTGTTCTTTCTGAAGAGAGGTTATGTTCAAAGCTATAATGACAATTTTCCCCAGTTTTTTTTGCATTTTCAAAAACTTTGAGAAGCATAACGGAAAATTACCACCGCGCCAGCGTTGTGTGCAATCAAGCCCCATGACAGAAAAACAGGAATGACATAACACACAAAACATTTCCGCAATGCCTCACATCTGGGCGCTGATTTGTATTTTCTACTTGACATCGCAAAACATATTTCTATAAAATTTAAATGACCGGAAATAGAAAATAATGAAAAATGAAATAAGCTTTTTACGTTTCATAAATATTCTTATCTGTAGCCTATTTTCTCACCAGTTATATACACTTAACCAACCACGGATTTTATTTTTTTATCTCTCATTTTTGAAATTTGCACATGCGATTTCCAGGGTGAAGCATCTCAAGTAAGTGTATTTGAGACAAGACACTAAGGGAATGATCGTCAAGGCGGATTATTATTAGCACTCAAATCCTCATCTATGCCCTGACGTTTCCTTCCAGCTCTAGTATACAACTTACATCAGCGGAGGCCACAGTGATAGACTCTTCGGTCTCCTGATCACTCGCCGTGCACTGCGCGGGTTAGAATCCCGTCCCAAGAGAAATTTTTCTCTTGACTATGAATGTTGTGATTGTCCGTATGTGGTAGACGGTCTCTGACTGTCGAACGCGGAGGTACCACTCAGCAGATCTAGTAGGCGGGGCCAGAATGTGTGCAAGTTGCATGCACACGTGTTCCTCGCCAGAGTACATGTGGCGTTCCGCCCTTTCCCCTGTTTCCCCTATGCAAGATACGTAATACCACTGCAAGTCCTCCGATCACAATCTTCAATAGAATGTTTCGGCAATCACAAACCTGCATAGGTTATCGTTCACCTTAATTGACGTTTCCCCATAAAATGTTCCTTGTAAAAATTCCCCAAATTGGGAGAAAAGTCTCCCAACATGGCAAACCTAGCAGAGCACATCATGAACGGCATTGCCGTACTTTATCCTGGCTAAAGCTGCTGAGCGATGTTTGACAGATGAAGTTAGACACTCCACATTCTTAGTGGTTTTACAAAAAAACGCTGCAAACAGTTGCTCGAAGCGTATTCAGCTGAAAAACAATGTTTGTGTCTAACGACACTATAGGGCTAAAACTGCTGAACGATATTCGACAGATCACGTTAGACTCCGCTTTATGTAGATACGATTCCTAGCAGCATTACAAAAAGCGAGGAAAAAGATATTCCGCTGGGCGTTTGACACACACCTTGATTCATGTGCGATGAATGTGAATTAAGTTTAACGTTTCCATATAGGGTATACCCTATTTCACAAGTATCCATCACGGTAGAATGACAGCTGATTATCTAGTAATATTTCAAAATTCCCCATATCCGGAAAGCTCACATAATTCTGACGGATCCGTCAATGCCAGGTAGACAGAACTAAAAGCTCTTTCAGTTAGAAAAGTTCATTTGCATACAAAAAACAAATTAGTTTTGCCAGATTTAATAATAATGCCAACGTAGCAGACTAACGCAAAAATGTCAAAGCGTGATGGAGACTCATGAAATAGGATATATTTGTAATTGCCAAAACTCTGTAATATTTTTATTTATTATACTGGAAGCCACACAACAAGCAATAAAAATCTCCTAAATGTCAGTAACGTCACCATCTAGTGGCCTACGCATCAGCGCCTAGTTTATTTGTAGACAACTGAACAAAAACAGTCGAAGCTCGTGTTGAGCCGCAGAAGCGTCATCGTGCGGTGCCTTACGTCTTTCTTCTTCATCTGTCAGGCCACCCAAATAGAAAGCCGTGGAAGACAAGGATGCCATGCATGTATGTGTGTAAAACATCTCATGAACATCACACGGAGGGTTATTACCAGCACTGCCCACAATTCATCTCAAAAGGGAGATAATTGAAAGTCATATTAAATAAGAGTTATCGCGCCTGTGACTCTCTTTTGATAATGCTTCGGCCATGTAAATACCGTACGTATGGCTGTTTCTTACATACCATGCTGTTTTGATTTCGCGTTGCTTGTATGGATATTTTCGCCTGTGACGTTGATGAGATTTATTGGATAAGGCAGGCAGTGGTGCGCCTTTAGGACGATCATGCGGTTTCATAATGCATAACATACGGACAAGGACGATAATTTGGCATTGTCCTTAATTGCCGGTCATGGGCAGTGTTGGCCGGCAATATTGTTAGCATTCATTTTAAGACTTTTGTCTGGCAATTGACGATATTGCCCAAAAATAGCGCAAACCAGGTTGACTCACGCAACACTGTTCGTCAGTTCATATAATACTATGTTCAGCACAAGTTAGCCCTTTCTAGGGGAAACGTTAAACTCGAACATGCATAAAAGGGAATTTAATAGATCAAGTAAGTCGAATAGGCTCATACAATAACTCCCCTAGTTCCCACCCTTTTGAGAAGCGACAGCAACCTTGCGACCACAACTGCGAAGACTTAACCGCCAACGCCAGCCGATACCTCGCTACTCCTGTTTTCGTTGCATTCGATGCGAATACCAAAAATATTTCTGTAATTCTATGTCTCGAGGGCAAATATTCGGGGAAAGGAAATATTGTGTGGAAAATTTCTAATAGGGTCTGATGGAAGCGTCTATTTTTTAATCTAACCAGAAATTACTTTCTTATAGAAAATGGCTTCCGGCTGAATTTCGTTGAAATTTTGCATAGAAGCAATTTTCGAAACTGCGATCAAGTCTCAATGGGGGCACACCTGCCAGAAGCCCCTCCCCGACCCCCTACATAAGTTTTGAAGTGATACTATCAAAGAAGAAGTAAAGCATTCTGTTGTTAAAATTTCTCCCTAACTGTCAAATAATGATTATGGAATGACCTTGTCAGTGGCGTTTAAACACTTTTTTCAGGTATTTAACTACCATTTCAAATGAGTTTTTTCCAGAGAAAAAATACGACTATGGGTGAATGAAGAAATCGTGCGTTCTAGTCACAATTTAAACGAATTTCATTATTCAACAACAGTAGTTCCAGAATGTAAGCAACATTATATTGAAAAAAAGGAGCAACACAAGAAATGAATAGAACGGACAAAAAGAAAGTATTGTTAGAAAAAAATATTCAATTCCAACAACAAAACTAAAGCTGTCTGGAAGACTGTATCTGAACTGACCAGAAGTGATTCAAAAAGAACCAATAATATGAGTACGACTACTGCATCTAATGAAAAAATACGTGCTGATGAATTCAATCAGTTTTTTAAAAATGCACCTTTAAACATCGTCAAAAATATTCCCCTTTCATGATCATACCGCTAGTTCGAGTAGGGCATATATGTACACGGTATTTGATGTTGCTGTATCTATTTACTGGTGATGAATTATCTGATTTAATTGATGAAAAGCTAATGCTGTATCGTTGGTATCATTATTAGAAGATTTGCAATCTTATTATCCACCTGGCACAATGTACAACAAAAATGTAGTCACTAATTGTTTTTAGTATGAAAGGTAATCTCATAAACGCCTAACAATGAAGATACCAGGACGTAAGAAAATATACTCAGATACTATACTACCCATGATGCATATTTGAGGTCCATAAGTTTTTTTCTAATTTACTAGTACTATGGCCCTTATGTCAACGTGGAATAATTTTCATAGTTAAGACATCATACATGATGATCATTTGTCTAAAATGGCGTGGCAATTACAGAGTGGATCTACTTGACGGCATTTTTCGCATTACAAATACGACTCATTTTTATCCAAATGTCCATTTATACGCGCAATAAGCATTCCTACATCTCTGTGTGAACAAATCGCTCTAAAAAAAAACAGCCCGATCTCGCATCTAATTGCACACAAATTAATTCGTATCATGTGTCGACATTTTATACGTTTTAATAACGTACGTTTAACGTTTGATGTCTACTGGGCAGTTAGGTTACGCGCATGCCACACGCATTTCGTTTGAAAGCAGATACTATTACGTTGTGCGGATGTGTTTGTTACTTGTAGTAATTATGTAATATTGTAGATCCCATACACGTTACGCACTATTTCAATGAGCTAGCAGCTGCTTTACAGTTTCAAAAGAAGCTTTGAGATTTTTATTAGCGAAGTGTGGCAGTACAGTATCTTTAGACAAAAAACATAAGTGAAAAAGAGAATCGCACGTTACAAGATTTTTACTCTTATGAGGACAAAAACTACGGAGTTTATTATTTCCATTACCATTGTCGGAAAATGATTCGTTTATAAGCTGTCAGTATCAGTAACGCCCCTTCTCTTGATGACAAAATGTGGAAAAATATTTGAGGTTAGGGTGATCTAGGTTAGCAGTTGATTGCTCTTTCTAACTCTGTTCAAAGAGGCTAACCGCCCGTGGCATTAAGGAGTAGGTATCGAATTTTCTACACTTTTTCCTGTCTGAACCAAATTATATCGACATTATCAATTCTAACAAGCTACTCTTACTGACAACACTCTAATAGAAATTGGCGCTGTAGTTCAGATTATTCTATTCTAGTATGGCTGACTCTTGGCCTAAGAGAGGTATGAATGGCTTTAGGCAATACAACAGCTGTTCTATCAGCTATTTGTTGTCCAGTGTGATGTCTTCGATGATAACAGTCAACAAGAGTGACATAACCAACAAATGCAGTTTCGTGGGAAAATATATACAAATGGCTTAACACAGCATATCCATCAATCCTGGAAATGATCTGTTTCGTTTTAATTTTATCGTATATCGATTATAACAATTCAAAGGTCAAAAGGAAATGGTAGCCTAAAAACACTTACACATACTTAAACAGTACAATACAGATTAAAAAACAGTTGCAGAACTCTTTCAAGCTATAAAAACACTTATCTGTTAGAAATGATTTCAACTAAATTTTGAAACTGCTTAATGTCGGTGCCTTTTGAATATCTTCTTTTAAGTTATTGAACATTTCACAACCCATGTAAGTCAAAGATTTCTGATATGCTGCAGTAGGATGTTGGGGGGGTATCAGCAAATTCTTAGATCGAGTTTGATAATCGTGTTTTTCTTTGCTATTGAAGAGGTTGAATTTATTTTTTTGCGCAAATATATTCATCATAGGATCGAAAATAATTCCTGCAAAGTTGAGGCCAATTAAGATTTGCAACGATTCTAATAACATATTTCTGGAGAAGAAAAACTCTATCGGTGAGCTGCATCGCCAGCTTAAAATGCCATAGCGCAAGTGACAGTTAGAGCTTGAATAGTATAGAGTAAACAAGAATATACCATAAGCATTTTTACGTAATTTATGACACAGCGATTCTACATGTGGCTCCCGAGTTAGATAACAATCAGTGGTATATATCGTATAACGTAACTTTCCTGGTTAATCAAATCCTTTACAACAGACTTAATTTGTGCATAAACGGCGTTCATTTTTGAAACGTACCTTCGCCTAAAAAGAATTTAACAGTCATACCTAGATTAGGTTGAACCAAAGGCGCTCATACAATAGAGCAAGAAAGTTCTTCTGCACTCTTCTGCTAACATAGATTGCTCGATCATTCAGTATCACCATCTGTGTATTGAGATTTATTTTCCCTAAAATGCTGATACTATTAAACAAGCTGTTTCTATAGTATAAAATGAAGCTTTGAACATTTGAGAAGCACCAACATGTTCTACATTATGTTATTTCTCCTGTTAATACGCTTTGAATGTAGTCGTCGTTTGAAAGAAACGCCTATCAATCGTTAAAATTTTATTTGAAGTGGTTTGTTTCTAGTAATGTGTTGTTTTAATGAAATTTTTTGATGATGACTCGGAAATTAAAGGAGCCGACGAAGTAGTGAAACTAAGCAGCTAGTATGTAGGCTAGATTGAAGAAAACGATTTAAGTGTAATCGTGAAAAATTACGAAAATGAGATATTATATTTTAGTATGTTATACGACATGTACCAGACGAAAAACCACTTCCGTCGATCTGTCTGTCGGTCTGCCTGTCTATCCGCTAATCCTTGACCCGTCAATAACTTTGAAAGTACTTATCTGACTTGGATAAAATTTTTAGACAAGGTTACTGCAATGCAAAGAACCAAAAAACCAAACCAAAGAAAAGAAATAAAAATAGCTCAAACTTCATTTTTGACGTATCAGAGGATCCTGATCATTTTTTGAAAAACAATTTAGTTAGGGATGGGGATAGTAGGGAGTGGAAGAGGGTATATCTTGTTTTTTTATGTTAGTACATTTATACGCTCACAGTCCCGGTAATTATATGCACATGTTAGCCATTTTCCACAAATCATAGATATCCCCATATATGTATATTTGGGGTTAAAACTAGAGAAATGTTTCTGATATGCGTCTTTTTCTGCTATCTGGGTTCAGCGTCCGGCGTAACGATCTGCTTGATTGTTATGCTTGTACTGTGGCGGTGCTTCGGTGGGCCCTGCCGCATCTGACGACATGGGAAGAGGGCTACGTTGCCAGATTGACGGTAACTACCGGTAGACAAGAAAAGAATGTCTGTGGACTAATTGCACGGCTTGGATCGAATGTGTCATTCTGCTACATTTTTGTTTCTCGGATCGTCACTACTCGCTAACACTGAATTCCTACCAGAAATTCTTGGACAGCATTTAGTCACCTTTATATGATCTGTGAAACCTTATACAGCGGGTCCGTTTCCCTAATTAAATTCCTAATAATAAGTAACATTGACGTCTGACCACCACGATGAGGAATACGTCGTCACCTGCCAAGAAAACGCAACGCATGGAACAAAAAGTATCGAATGACGGATAGTGATGGGCATTTTCAATACGAACGCGATTGGAAACAAGCTTTAGTTGTCCGATCTTTGGAAAAGGTGTCCATTTCCAGAAGTTCGCAAAGGGGGTATAATCGACTATCGCCATTTCGAAGAGATTAGTGTCATATCGCTCTAAAGCAGTTATTTGTTGAAGGATATCTTTCATCGAGAAGTCATATTCACATCTGCATTTTTGAATTTTGAGTTATACAAAATTTACTGATTCGCTATTTTTGTATTAGCTTCTGAGATATCTTGACATCTCGAGTTCACCGCTTGAGGAGTTTTCGCCAGGCAATTGTAGAACATGAAGACTATAGATAGGAGTTTGAACTCATTGAGTGGGGGTGATGCCAAAAATTTTAAGATGAAGTGACTTGGTACACTGTTCAGCAAATGAATTTCAGGCACTGTGTGTACACAGCGTAGAAAATAGAAAATAAATTTCAGGTTCTGCTGCTGTCACCATGACTGTAAACAACTACTACTACTATTTTGACGGTTCGGACGAGTTGCAAGGAGAGAAATTGGATTATATCATATAACATATTAATAAACCACGAAGTAATAAACCTACAAACCATGACATTATGTAACAAGGCAAAAAGTGAGTGAAATGCATAAAGATTTCTGCAGGTTATTTTGACATTTTTCAATGCGCAGACGTTCTACGCCATGTTCTACGCCCACTAGATTTTCGAGAGCCACACCATCATTTGCGACAGAATTGGCTTCATATGAATACGTGTATCCCTTACGAAGTTTAACCTCTCTGGTATTTTAGAGTGAACAGACAAATGAATGTGAAGATGTTGACGCCGCTGTCCTTGATATTATGATGGCAGATAGGTGTGTGACTCTTGTCGATGTAACATAATGTCAACGCAGGTGTTCCCCAGATATCGGTTATGATCCAATATGTTTCGATTATACAGGATGTTAGTAAGATACCTGGCCAATCTTCTTGGAATGACATCCCTTTGGTACAAAGTTCATATAAGCATGGGTCCAATCACGCTTCGGTTTCGAGATTGAAGACATAAGTTTTTTTTTAAATTCGTTCTTTCAAAAGAATGGAACCTTCAAGACTTTTTTAAACAGGTACAGAAGGTACAGACACCGAAACTTTAACTAGAGTTATTAAAAAAAAAACGCTTTATGTGACGGACATCTAGATCGAAAGCTTTAAATTCGTTATTTTTTACTTTGGGCTTAATTCATGCTTTTTACTTTTCCGCCACTGGCTAACAAATATTATAATCGCGAAAAATCTCGGAAATGAGATTTTATGATTATACACATATATCACATGTACATACATAACAAAAAACCGGACCAGTTTCATCGGTCTGTCTGTCGGTCTGCCTGTCTGTTCGCTAATCCTCTTCCCGTCTTTAACTTGGGAAATCCCGCTTAACTTTGATGACATGTTTACACAAGGTTACTACTTTGCCAAGGACGAAAAAACTTTAAAGCTTTTGAAAATCCGTCCGGTGGTGTCACAACTAGGAACAAAAAACGAAAAAATCACTCAAACTTAGTTTTTGACGTTCTGGGAGCCTGATCATTTCCGGGAAAAGCGTGTGAGGTATAAATTGGGGATTCTAATATACGGTTAAAACTCCGCTAATTCTATGACGCTTATTACACATATTTCACTTATCACACATCACACATCATGGATTTCCAGTACATTTGCTCTTAAAATAAATCGAATATGTTTATTTTCCATCAGACATTTTACAAATTGTACTGGATTCGTCAAAAAGAAAATATGAACATGTACAAATACGATGGAATTTCACAATTAAAATAAAATACGAGGCAGAAATCACAAGAAATAAACTATAGATACACAAAAACATACACATACAGATAGTTTTATAAATAAAATATAACAAATAGACATTACGAGGTATAGATAAAAGCCACACACAAAGAAAATTCGAAGTAGATGAAATATAAATAATTAAATAGCAACAAACACATTAAAAATGGACATACAATCCATAGTTAAAAATTAATTCCTGACAGAGACAAAGTTGGACACGGATTACAAACATTTATTCACTAAAAGCTGTGATAATTGACATGTCAATTAACTCTTAAATCGATTCAGACTTGCAATTCCTTACACTTAAAATGATACCTAGATCGCAACATCGCCAAATGAGTGGGTGCAACGGACTAATTGCATGGGCCTGTTCAACCAACTTGATCCGTTTAATTTTTTTGTCATGCATGTTCGTAGATAACTAAATTCGCAGAAATAAAAAAAACGGGCTAAAATGTTGATTAATTTTTCCAAAAAAAAGTAAATTTTCAAAAGTAGTCTGCAGCCTGTATCTAGTAAACGAAGCACTAACGGATCTATGAAGTTTTTTCGCTTCTTTTAATCATGATTAAGTGGGAAAAATATTTCCGGAAAAATCGTACATACAATGAATATTCTCAGAGCCTTTTTTGCCCATCTCTATCAGATGAAGCCACGAACACAAAAGAAGAAAAGTATCGAATGACGAGAAGGCGCACATTACACACCCGTTATTAGTATTTAACGTAAGCGGACATGTTTAGTAAACTTTGAGACAGCCGAATGTGGCCCGTTAATGGGCAGTGACAGGTGCCTACTTGATCCCTCCGCAGCAGCGGCCACGGCGGCCCTTTCGAAACCGCCGGCGTTGTGAAGAATTTGGGAGGAATGTCGTTGTGGAAAGGTTAAGGGCTCCTTTAGACCATATTCCGTTAATAAGAAGTCATTCATTAAAGGACACTCTTGATTTATGTAGTGCATTGGTGATAATCGGGCATCCCAGTATGACGTTACATTTTTACGGACTGTAGACAAATATTTACATTTTCAGTACGACCATTGAATAAAAATTTAAGCCGTATACATAGAATGCATCAAACGTAAAATTCGAGTGAATTGAAACATTTTTTAAAAAGATCTTATTTAATCATCTTTAAACCTAAAACAATAAAGGCTGAAACAGGTTTGAAGTTTTTCTTCCTACGCCTCACTGGGAAGGATTATAATCGCGAAAGATTTTGGATATGAGATATTATGTGTCTTTTATGACATGTTTATCACGAAAAACCATGTCAATCATTTCCGTCAGTCGGTCTGACTGCCTGACTGTCTGTCGTCGGTCTGTCTGTTCGGTCTGTCGGTCTGTCTGGCTGTCGGTCTGTCTGTCGATCTGACGGTCTGTCTGTCGGTCTCTTTCTTTGGTCTGTCTGTCGGCCTGTTTGCCGGTATGTCTGTCGGTCTGTCTGTCGGCCCCTATAACCTCAAACTTGGAAAGTACAACTTTCACATTGCTACTATACCAAGGACGAAAAAGTGTTTTTTAAAATCGGTCCAGTGGCGGCAGTGAAAAAGGTCAAAAAGAAAAACAATGAAAATCTCCCAAACTCCGTTTTTTGTCGTTTCAGAGAATCCTGGTCATTTAAAAAAAAACTTACTTATCGATCGCACTTGCCAAGCGCTTCAGGAAGGTAAGTGTTGCATTTTTGGTAGTAGATGCGAGAGACATGAAAGCAGGTAGCAAACGGCGCGGTGATGCGATATGCACATAGGTGCGAGGTGAACGCGATTTTATCATATATATTATGCTTGTAGTGTAATTGAAAGAGGCTATTTTATTTCGTGAGGTACCAAACATTGTTGACGAACAATTTCGCACCAGAGCTGCAAAGAAATGAGGCTACCGTGTCCGGACACGCTTATTACTGCAATCTAAGGGATTTTTTTTCCTGACAATCTCAAAAAGTGCACTAATGATTATCACAAAATCCACGTCTTTTTGATGCCATTGCACTAAATGGAATATTGTAGTATAGGTTGTTTTGAAGGCGTGGGAAGCATAGAGTCAATCTACTTAACGCCATTTTTTCTGAAATTATTATTATTTTTTTCTTAAATTGTGGCATTGGAATGGGTGCATTTGCCACATACGGTGAGGTTCAAATTTGTGTACGAGAGAAAAGCGGAGAAACTTGCAACATGTATGTTAGAAACAGTGCGCCGATGGCAACGCGGCAAGCCGCAGCTGCGACTGCAGACTCGTCACTCGGGTTGCTAGGCAACGAAGTGCTTCTATCTCTTTATAACACACGTATTGTACGCTTCTCGCATTAGCATTATTGGCATTACAATTTTGAAGCCACATTTTTTTTATACTCCAGCTACCACGAAGGCCTAAGGCCTAAAACACCCATGAGGTACCGTGGGGCTTTATGAGGATACATACAAGCGAAAAAGGGGGATGACGCCACACGGACTCTAGCGAGGGAACACGTGTGCATGCACCATGCACTCATTCTGGTCCCGCCTACGAGATCCGCCGGGTGGTACCTCCGCGTTCGACAGAAAACTTTTTCATGGGACGGTATTCGAACCCTCGCAGCGCACGGTGACTGCGACATGTTCTTATATGTGATGTATATCATATGCCCTAGTAATATATAGTAATACACTGAATCATTTTATTTACCTTAGCTATACATGCGGGGGTTAAAAATGGATATGCCAATCCCCAGCCGTTTGGAGTATTGTTTTTTTGTGTTATATTAATTGCTCGTATTTTGATTCTATTATGTATGAATACTCCAATGAATATTATTATCATTATTATTATTATTATTATTGTTATTATCATTATTATTATTATTATTAAATAGAGCTCCCCATATGGGGGTGTATAATACTTCCACCGAGCTCTTGTAGCCACAGGAAAGAAGTAAATCTGCTACGGCTTCTACCGAGACCGATGTTCGTCTCCAAGAACCCTGCGAACTGTCCTGCAAGTACCCAGCAGTTGCAGCTTTTTGTAATCTATGAAATATAGCCTTATTTAGCCTTAGCTTTTCTAGGCTTTGGTTATTATTATTATTATTATCGTTATCTTTATCGTTATCTTTATCGTTATCTTTATCGTTATCTTTATCGTTATTGTTATCGTTATCGTTATCGTTATCGTTATCGTTATCGTTATCCTTATCGTTATCGTTATTATTATTATTAAAATTTAGTTTTCAGCGTATGTGATCGTTGAGTGCTACGCTGTAGTTTCGCTCCTGTTTACATGTTTAGTTGGAAGTTCAAATTATTTTTCAAAGAAAGTTTGCTAAGCTGTCCAAGGTTTATTTGGCACACATGCTCAAGAAAGAAGTAATGTTGAGGGGTGATGGTATTTTTTCCGTAAGTCTAGGAGATCTGTACGTTCTCAGGTGTATTCCTCACATTATTAATCGTTGTAACTGACTGAAATTCCAGATTTAACTATCATACTGTAAATTGTAAATGATACAAAACTTCTAGTCGAAAAATTAAAGAAAATTATGGCATGTTGATGTCCCGCAACAACCTGCCAAGTTTTTAGTACCCAGTCAAAGTTCATTTTTGTCACCAAACTTGCCGAGCTTGCTGTTTAGCATCAAAATACCATTCCTTATCAGTACGTGAAGTAACCAAAGCTTTGCGGCCGGATTTTGGCACTTTCTCAAATAAAAACAGCGATCTATTTGCCGACCATCCTTGGGTACCGACGCGGTGTAGCCAGACTGCCATAAAATATTTGTAAAACGCAAAAATTATACTAAGCAGACTGTAATTCAGTTCTTTTCACGGTTTTTGGAGGTTACGTCAAAAGGTCATACGAAATAAATAAGTATATCGTCTTAAGGCCAGTTAGTCTAGATAACTCACCATGTTAAATAGGCCGATGATTAGTCAAATAAGTAATTTGAGGATTGAAAACTTTTTAATTTCAAGTTACCATGCTTCTGTTATTACTAAACTAAGCTGTGTAGTATTCCGCGTAAGGCCTTCAAGTTAAATAGCTATTTGATAACTTACAGATTGTGAGATGTTTAGTTCTATTGGATGAAAAACAAATTTCTTAGGTTGCAATAGATGATAAATTTCGTTGGCATGAATAAATGTCCAAACGAACGAAAATTTGAACAAAGAAATGCGTTGACAAGAAGTGATGGTCAACAAATGCATCCTATACTTGATCTATCCAACAACTCATTTATTTCCGACTAAATGACAATAGCATTCAGCTGTTTTCTGTACGCCATATTTTCAGATCTCCTATCTCTCTGTAATTTTATTCGCTTTGTCTAACGAGCTTCTCTCTATATAACCACTTTGCTCAGACTTTTTCATGCGTTTTCAGGAAATCGCTCACAATATAGCAACATTGCATCTCCATTAGCTGGACGTTTATCTAATATTTGTCTACGGCCGTGTCTGCGATAGCGAGTTTGGCGTGAGAGAGAGATGGAAGACCGGACTCGCTTGCGAGAGTGCGAAAGAGACGGATGCGGGCCACACAGATAGAAAGGCTGAACGGCGCTCCACACGGACATCAATTAAGCGTGCATGTAAAGCGCGCATTTTAATTTGCGGAGCGACCTACTGGCGGTGTCGGTATCGCTCATGCATCGGGGTTGTCACTTTTTTACATACAAAGGAACTGGGCAGTCAAAGCTTATTCAGGTATGTGACTGCTATGGAAGAGTTACGGATAAAAGCATTGTACTGAGCAATCAAGAAAGCTTGGTCTTAGCAAATGTTCCAAATTCTTGATATGTGCGGTTACAAGGGGGCCTCAGTGCCCGTTCTGAAAATCCGGTGAGCGTTCAAAGAAGTTGCAATTTAGCATGATTTTGTGTACAATATTCGGGATTTTCAGCAGTTGACCCTCTTCAAAAAGTTTTGGAGACTGATACACTTTCATAGTATACAAAAAAGTTGCCTATTGATGATTTCCAATCCCCCCTTGGGAAAAATTCCAGTGGACGCCCATGGCTCTTGATACTCTATCAACAAAGTAGCTTCTGCGGCGCTCTTTAACTATGAAAAACGAAGTAAGTAGATCAACTCACCACTTCCCATGAATTCGTACACATCGATTTCGAATTTTCGAAACATATAAACTGAAAATCCTCGACATACTAATACTATTTGAAGATTATATAATTGAAAAAAATTAGTGTTTTCAAATTCTTCTTTCAAAATATTTTCAATATATAACTCGTAAAATTGATAAGCGAATTATTCAAAATATTGATCTCTTCAAAATGAAGTATGACTCCGCCACTACTGCACCTACTATGCGTTGCAGCATGCTATTCAAGTTCCATCAAAATCGACGCAGCCGCTTTCAAAAGATAATTTAAAGTAGGTTTTAACAAAATTTAAAGATGAGAATAAATTGACCATACTATTGAATCACTGAAACAAAATTATATATTTCGTTACTAATCCTCTACACTTACCAGCCTAATCGTAAATAAAAGCACTCTCGATCACAATACCTTCATAACGTATTTGTAAGAAGAAAGAATGGGTTACATCGTGAAGCGAAAACCTAACGAGTTAGACTAGCAGACCCCGAACCGGTGGCATCTTAGGGAGAAGCCTAGAAGAAGAACTTTCGCAAGCACGTATGTACGTGATCTTAGTAAAAAGCATTTGAGCAATTGAGAATGGGTGAGCGATATATAGTAAGATGTTGAAAAAGTCAACTATGGACGACTGGACAAAATATGTGAAGTGACCTCATGATTATTTCCGTTTCGTTCTTCATTCTACATCGAGCTGTCATTATTAAGAAATTATAGTGCAGATTATACACATATATAAACTGATTACAAAGATAAATTCAGATTTAGTGGGGTAATCTTAGAAAAAAATTGATTGGATCTCAAATATAGCAACAACTTCCTTAATGATGTTGATCTTTTATACTCTTCTTTCTACAAATTGCCTTGTAACTAAACCATTGCTTAATTTGTGAAGATGTGCTAAACATTATACATAA